TCAGAAAAATTTGGGAAGCATGGACTGGTCAAAGCTAAACCAACTGTTAGGAGCCTTGCTGCGCCTGTAAGAATGAATGATGGAATGGATGAGGAAGTTCCAAAGAAGAAGCCTGAGCCCATGGATGGTCCTGTGCTGTCTGAACGTGATCGAGCTAAGCTAGAAAGGAGAAAGAGGAAGGAGGAGCGCCAAAGAGAGGTATGATATTGGAGATAATTGTGCCATTCTTGTAAGTATTCAGTTATATATTTGTATTTCTTGAACTTATTCACTGTATTGGACTTGATACTTAATTTCAGTGAGATGGCCAACCATTTTTTTTTTTGAGTGCGTAGGATACTAATACTGTGAGAGCAATATTTAGCTGGTTTTTTAATGTCTGACATATGGAAATAATAAGCACTCAAATTATGCAGGCTCAATACCAGATGCATCTAGCAGAAATGGAGGCTGCTAGAGCTGGTATGCCTGTTGTTTGTGTGAATCATGAAGCTGGTGGACCAGCTGTCAGGGATATTCATATGGAGAACTTCAACATCTCAGTCGGTGGTCGTGATCTCATTGTAGATGGTACAATTACACTATCTTTTGGAAGGCACTATGGTGGGTTGACTTTCAATTCTCATATAACTATTCTTTTTTTTTTGCCACAAAGAAAGATGAGAAGAAAAATGAATTGAAGAAGATGAGATTAGAAATGTAATATATGAATGTACTTTTGGAGTCATGTAAATAATTATGTGGTCAGTTTCTGATGCATGACAAGATACTGCAACCTGTATGCAGGCCTTGTTGGAAGAAATGGTACAGGGAAAACAACTTTCCTAAGGTACATGGCTATGCATGCCATTGATGGTATTCCTTCTAATTGTCAGATATTACATGTTGAGCAAGAAGTTGCTGGTGATAATACAACAGCCTTGCAATGTGTCCTTAATGCTGATATCGAGAGAACCCAGCTTTTGGAAGAAGAAGCTCGCTTGCTAGCCCAACAGGTCAGATGCATTGAAAAAACTGACAAAGGTTTTGTTTCCATTGCTTAGCTTTTTTCTTTTTAAACAATATCTTCACTTGTAGTAAATCTTTATTCAATTATTGTTAAGAGGGACTTGGAGTTTGAAGGTGTAACTGCAAAAAGTGAAGGGGATTTGAAAGGGGGAATAGACAAAGATGCTATTACACAAAGGCTTCAGGAAATATACAAAAGGCTTGAGCTCATTGATGCTGACTCTGCTGAGGCTCGTGCAGCTTCCATCCTTGCTGTAAGTACTTGAAGTTTTTTGTTAATTGTGACAAAATGTGGCTACTTTATTATGACTCCTGTCATGACCTGGTTGATTTAACATCATTTAGATTCTGAAACTACCATA